AAAAAATCCTTTTCAATTCAAGCTTTGAATTGAGTGTGGATGTGTAAATTCCGGGGAGGAAGAACTAGATTGAGACACGATCTGCGTATTGCGTCACTTTGCCAGGGTTGACAAAAGAGTGAGACGAGAGGTGAGAAATATTGAAGTTATTGCATCCCTGCTCTGTTTCATATTATCCATGATCACTTTTCGGAAGTTTTTTTTTGCCGTTCCAACTATTTTAGCACGCTTACCATATGCGAGTTCTGCATTGTACTTGAACATTAACTTTAGCCCAATAAAATCTCCGAAGCGTCAACGTAACTAAAAAAGCGCCGAAGGAACTAAGTAATAAAATGAGGTACAAGGGTAAAGTAACCTCTCTATAAGACCTCTAGATTTTTGTATGTTTGCTGCTAAAGAAAACGGCAGTGTGATGCAGCTGATGACGCATAATTTAGAGGACATAATAAATACATTCTGATTTGTTCTTACCTGTGATTCAACTACTTTGAGTCAAAAGTTCCAATTGATTACATTACCTTTAGATGAATGTTGCACGTTGTTAACTGCTTCAAATTTAATGTCGAAGTCCGCATTTAACCTCAGAAGAGTTCTTTGGCTTTAGATGAGGAATTCTGCGTAATAGCAATGGTCTCCACATTGTGATATGGCATTAACGAATGTTAGCATAGTGGAAAATATATATTTTTACAGGCATTGATTTCTGACGAAATATAGCCTATAACATTTGAGCTCTTGACCTGGAGAAACCTATCATATTCTAGATCTAGAATATCAGTTGAATCATTCTTGATCATTGTTAGTTTTCTGACGCTTAAACAGTTTCGAAGATTTTTAAGTGAGAGAAAGTAGCTTTTGTATATTTTTCATGCATGACAACAACTACATTTTCGTTCTATTCCGCACGTAAAAGACTTCATACAGCAGTATAATAAGTTCATGAAATATTTTCACCCAGCAGCAGTTATTCCATTCATTGCCATTCTTTTACCCATTTCCATGTGTTCTCAAATTTGGATTGGCACAATCTAAGACTAGATCCAAGAAGTATACTTTTAATTCTGACAGCTTGCTCAATTACTGTGAGGGCACAGAAAAAAATTGAATGAATTTCGGGGACAAGAAACTTGTTCCGCTGTTGCCCAGAAACTGGAAAGTTTCTCATCACGGAAACCCAGGAAAACTCTCTATCCATCCACGAGGTTTAAGTTCGTGAATAAATTTAAAAAAAAAACGCCGCGCACAGAAATAAAGCGGAAACTTTCGTCCACAATGCTACAGAAAGAACTCCCGTGCAAAAAAAAAATACAACTAATATCGGTCCACGCAGTACTTCAACTTCAGGGTTTCTCAGTTCTCACGAAAACTGCGCCGATTTTTTCAACGAAAATTTTTCGAATTCGTTTGCCTGCTTTTCTTCTTCCTTTTTTTCCCTTTCTCGACGATTGAGACAAACACCGACACCCGGGCGACACGTGGAACAAATTAGAGGTCGGGGAGAAATCCCGGGTGAACGTCTGTTGAAAGCTGCGTGTTGGCAACCACGGGTTCCCCTCAGTCACGACCCAGCTTATCTCAGTGTAGTAAGAATAAGTCAGTACTGACACCCTTAAAAACAGTGATTGGCACACAGGAAAACAGTGTTCGTTCCTTTCCTCTTGGATCGGAATCTCGTGTGACATCCGAGCCGTGGGATTGAGTCATGTTGGATGATGGAAGGAGGGAAGAAGAAAATATTTCCCTTTTTTTATTTTCGCGCGTGGGAAATGATTCCGTGTGTGCGATTCCAACTCCTCAGTTTCCCGACGATAGAAGGAAAGGTGATTCATCGCTGCAAAAGTTGTGCTTCCAGCTGTGAATCAGTGCTACATTTCTGACTGGATCATGAATTCTCGAAAACTAAATTAATCCTAGCATACCGAATAGAATAGGCTTAACGATAATTCATTTTCTTCATGAAACTTCATTCTCAGAAACATGCAATGCAGGTGGACTCTCTCTACAACAACATTCGAACATTCAGATAAAAATTGTTCTACCCAGAATTTTGCTGTGCCTTTTAACACAGTGAGAGAAACCTTTGACTTGTTTTTTATTAGAGGTACGTCGCTTCCTTTAACAAAATCTGTTCTAACAACTCCTCTCTCAGGTGGAGGTTTTTAATTTACACAACGTGTACGTTTATTCAGGACATACTCACAATCCCCACGAATAGCACTTCAGTAGACAACCTAAAAAATGAGCATGGTTTTTTAAATTGTTGGTATACCCCCAATGTAACGGTATCTTACTTCTACTTTTAAAGTTTCCTAGTTAACTAATCTCTTTTAATAAGCTAACTTCTTATTCGTCTGATTAGTCTCTGTCCCAGACTTTAGGAGAGCTCTAAAGATCATAAAAGAGTTTTAAATGTTTTTCATGTTTGTGTTAACAAAAACACTTTCTGAACAATTTATGCAGACAATGGACAAGACAACAGTTTTGAAAACTCAGCATAACCCTCCTGAACATAATCTACATACAATGAAGCTCACCAGATAACTGATGTTAATCTAGAATTCTAAATGAAAATTTTTTTTTTATCTTTTCTTCAAGAACTATAGGGATGGGAGTGTGGTGATTTTAGAGACCTGGGGTTGGCCATATAATTTGGAGTTCAATATGTGGTGGTGCCAGGGAAGCGTTAACATTTGGGAGACGGAAAAAACTCAAATTCTTTGCAAGTTTCTGGTTCTCTCATTTTGTCCAGTTGAAATTATTTTCATCGCTTGGTTGACTTCTCCTCCTTGATTAAGCAAGGACAGTGCAATACTCTCAAAAATGGTCAAACTATCATAGGTGATAGTCCAAATGAATAACAGGCGTACGCGCGGTTATCTCTTCCGAGTTTCCGTAGAATTGGAGTTTCAGTTTCGTAGGAATCTGCTTTTTCGTACTGAAATAATTATTACGCAACAGGGTTAGAAATGAGCATATTGGCACGAAACAAATCGAAAAAAATTTGTTATCTCTGTCCGGTTTGAAAGCACAATTCCGAAGCAATATCGTTCCATAGTCAGGCAGTCCTTTCTATTCCTGTTGGTAGACTTTCTACGTGAGTAACGTGACATGACGAGGTATGATGGAAAACAACCAGCATCTAACCACATAACAAGTCATGCAATTCAAAAATCGATGACTAAGCAAACAGATGTCGCTCGCATCGAACGACGAGCCACAACCTGTTTACGTGTGTCACTCGTTCCAACTCATGATCTTGGCGCTGATTCAAGACCAGTATAATCTCACGTGATCCGTGCCAGAAAAAGCAGAAGTTCCATTGACCCTAAATTCCAGGGAACGCGAAAAAATATATTTGAATAAAAATAAGCCGAGGGAAGAGAAAAAGATCCAACCCCAGTCAGTCACTTTCGCTCAGTTCCTTCACCACGTTTAACTTATTCCCTTAGACGAAATTTCAGTCGGTTATAAAATTTTTATGGAACAAGTGTGATCGACTGTTACAATTGGGTCATTCAGACGTGAGTGAACTAGCGATTGATTTATACATCAGAATCTGCATAATTTTCTTGCGAAGCTTTCGCAAGCTTTGTTGTTCGTTGGTAAGCTTTAAGCAGTATAGCATGTCCTGCATGAAAAGCACATCGTGTACATTGTAAAGCACTGAGCCGTACATATTTTTTTCCCACAAACTATTTGAAATGTGCAGGTTTGTTGTTGCACTTGACAAGTGCACAACGCAATTGTTTTTTTTCCTTGATCTTGTTTTGTTGCAACACATCCGTGATACGTTGAGTGAGAAATAGTTTCGAATTTATCTGTGATTGAAAGAAAGAGAGAGGAACAGAATGTCGGGGTTCCTCAGAAGAAGCATTATCAGCTGCTTATTGAAGCCAGCAAATAAATCCGTGATTATTCAGTAAGTCGCACGTTGTTTTTTTTCGTTGACAAGTTTGTAGCTGCGTTGATTTAAATTTATTGCGAAAAGGATACTAAATCTGTCGAGACACGCGTTTGAACATTTAAATTTTTTGCACAGAAGCTAAACTTTATTCTCCCGAGTTTTCCGTTTGATCTTTCAATTGCATGTTTTTTTCCATTCAACTTACATGCTTTTATATATAGTATACTGAATTGATCTTACTCAGCATCTTTTGCCTCGTCATTTCCATTTATTTATTCATTTATTTATCATTTATTCTCTTCCGACATTTTTTTAATTTTAAAAATTCTTCTAGCTGTAGAGAATTTTAAAACAAGGCATTCACTACACTAATAATAAGCATATACTGTAAATCACTGCTGATAGGCTGAGGAAAGTTCTATCAGTTGAAGTGTCATGAAAATCGAAATCTTGAAAATACGAAAGAGGTTCAAAAGTTGATGAAATTTTTTTGAAGAAAGTTCATTTGATCACCAACTTCACTGAAAATCATTTTCAAAACCGCCATGAAATAGGCATTTAAAGCAAATGCATTAAGACATACATTAATCCAAGTACACTTGTTCCGTTTTTTATTTTATTTTTTTAATTGCAGCCACGAATGAGTCTAGTTTTGAGGCAGCCATTGTCAAATCAGCCATGTTCCGAATCCTGTTTAATAAATAAAAATTAATGATAGACGTCCTTCTAAACAGCTAGGTGATGATATTCTCGGATATGGTGATACAGATTAATTTTTTTGGAGTTATATTTTTTAGAATCAAATAAGCTAAATAAAGAATATTCATGAAACAAGATAAAGTGGCGGGTAAAGCTCATTCCCTAGCTCAAATATTTGATGTTGTGCACTTTACATTCTCATTTTTTACCGACATAATACTTTACATATGCAACAATAGGTACTTTAAAATATGAACATTGTTCGAAAAATTCTTCAAAATGGCAATCGAATGTGAATAACATTTATATTGAAGAATGTAAAATAAAGAAACTCCCTCAGAAAAGGAAGCAGAAGATTCACAAAGTTCGAAAACCAATCGAAGTACTACTCTTAAAAAGCTGATTTACTAACAACTTGCGGTACAATCATGTGACTTGACAGCGAGGCAAAGTTTTAATTTAAAGAAAGCAAAAGTACTGTATATGTTTGTGTTTTCCCGACAATACATTAACCCGGGCTACAGAGCGAATGGCAATCCATCAAAAATAAAAGACTCAAGTAGAAATAAGTCGCTTCCCCGATAGAGGGGATAATTACGTCACTAATGTTCTGTATTATTCCATGTGTCATTCAACTCCGACTGCTTCTCTGTCTTCAAATGTTGGTTTTTTTCATATTTTCTCCTTCCATTGAAAGATTCAAGATGATGTCGCTAGGCGGGTCGGCGTCGACCAGTCTGAACAAGACTGTGACTGCCAAGTACATGAGCATCCCTCAGCCCAAGGACAAGGTGCGGGTGCTCTACGTGTGGATCGACGGGACCGGGGAAAACGTTCGCTGCAAGAATAGGACCGTCGACTTCATTCCAAAAGATCCTTCTCGTGAGTTGACAGCCCCGCAGAAATATGCCCAGCGAGATATTTTTTGTCTATTGCTCTCTTCTTTTTTTTTTCATTCATCCATCTCCTGAATATTCCCGACTCGTTTTTTTTTTTTTTTTGAGAGGAGAAAAAAAAGTAAAGCATCAGAGGCGCGTTTGGCGAAACACTTCGTTGCGACTAACGATGTGTTAGACGGTGACTGAGGCCCACTTAAAATTGAGGGAGAGTTCAGCAACATAGTACGGATGAAGTACTGAGTGTCAAAGTTCTTCATTTTTTTTATTCTTATAAAAAAATGATTTACCGTGCAGCAGTCACGGGTAGAAATCAATGAAAACCAATACTTTAGCGTTGAAAATTAGGATTGCTTAAACTTTCCCATGACTTTGAGAAGAAAATAAAGCGCACAAATGCACAGAAAAATTTTTTCAAGTCAGTTTTGGGACTTTAAAACACAACGTTAAATTTTAATACATTCTTTAAAAGTCAATGAGACGATCCCCTCGTTTAATTCGTAGAAATAACCCCAATTCAATTTGCCATGCATTGATTCGTGTTGAAGTTTCCCAATTTCGTCATTGTGAAGAATTTTCACGAAAATTCAGTATTTGCTGAATTAAGTTAATCTTCTATCTCAAGTGATCAAAGCCCGAGTAGTTTTTGCAGAGGAATTCGTGCAATATTGTTTCTTGCGCGATTTTTGGATTCACCGAAAAACTTTGAAAAAACTTTGGTTGAAGTCTAAAATGAAATTTTTTTCGAAAAAATCATCTCATGACTTTTCCGCTGCATAGCACAACATGGCAGCTACTTGGGTACAACCGAAGAAAATTAAAATAAAATGTGACGTTGTTCACGTCCAACGCCGTCATTTCCAAAATCAATGGAAGCGGGATTTAATATAAGCACGATTTTCGGAAATCGATTGTGCAAGTGAGAAATAATTCACTCAACATTCCTTGACATCCTACGGTATAATCGTGAATAAAATTTTCATGAATTCTGCAAAAGCGCGCTGAAATTTACAGCGGTCTGCTGTATTCATCCCATTGTTTCTGGGTGTTTATTTTATACAAGAAATTCTTGATTAAAAAAAATTAGTAGAATGTTTTTTTCTAGGTTTCGCGATGGTGATTTCTTTGAACTTCTTGGCTTCTTCGTTCATGAATGGAAAATTTTACCATAAAATGAGGAGTGTGTTGAATTATCCGATCGTACTGTCTCAGAACATTACAATCAGTTGGAAACAATTGAAAATTTTGGGCAAGACCTACTCTGAGATATTTCTGAACTGTATATAATTGCTGAAAATACGGCGAGCTACATTCCGAAAATTGGTTGACAGCGTATACAGCATAGGAAAAAATTCATAAATGGCTGCCTTTTGCGCTGGGTTGAGCATTTATTTCCGGAAATCGTCCCAATTATGTGTGATTTGGTCGAAACATATCCGGGAGAGTAATTACGCCACTAAGTACTGTAATGAAAAATAATTGAAGACTCCGGCTGAGGCCTTGCCGATCAGGCAGTTGTAAAAATTACGCATTCCTCCGTTGAGTATAGGAGAAAAAAAAATCGGATATATACTGTATTGTGGAACACACGCAATCGACATTGAGATATACTGTATCCCCTAATCGATAATCCGATTACCTTACGTGTGCAAATAGTGACCGATTTCAAGCAGAGAGAATCGTCACACGTCACACGATAGTTCGTACCACGAAGTAACAATCCGTTCCTGGAAACGATATTTTCATCAGCGAATTAGGATGATTAATTTGAAACAGTTAGTTTCGCGAAATAATCAGAAGATTGTGCTGTGCCATTCTCAAGTTCGATGTCCAAAAAAGGATATGATCTTTTTACCAATTTCAATCTTGCCTTCGAATTTCAAAACAGAGTTGCCAACATGGAATTACGACGGAAGTTCGACTTACCAAGCGGAAGGAAGCAACTCGGACGTTTACTTGCACCCCGTCAGAATCTACAAGGATCCATTCCTTCTGGGAGATAATAAAATTGTCCTTTGTGACACTTACAAATATAACAAGAAGCCAACCGGTGAGATACGTTTTTTTTTCGTTTGAACACAAAATCATATTTCGTGATTTGCCCCGTCGCTTCTCATGGAAAATCCACAGACAAAATTTGTATATTTTATTTTATTATGATTTTGACAATTTGATCGTTCTTCTTTCAAGTCCGATTGTGTGTTCGCTCATGAGTTTTGAAAATATGTATATTTTCGCACGATACCAACATTCCTGGAAATTTAATGGAGAGAAATCTTGCCCCATTTTTTTCTTTGCTGAAGCAGTCTTTTTTAATGAAACCCGTGACCAAGTATTTTAGAAAGCACTTGTAAAACTGCCATCATTCATTGAAAGTTGAAATTTAAAAAAATACTTCAATGCAACTTCGATAATTATCTTTCTTGAATCAATGGAACCAAATTTTCAGGATTTTGTCGCCAACAAACAGCAGTGGCTCGCACAAAAGTCCTTGTTTTGTGTAACAATAGGGATAAAACATTGCAGTGTCGAAAAAAAAAAGAAATTTAATAAGTATTGATCAAGTCATGAAACTCTGCAGCTGTCTCAATTACGAAAAGCCTTGAATTATAATCCTTATAGATATCCTCTCAATGTTTGCCTCATCAACTTGAATTCGAATTCACAGAAAGCAACAACCGAGCAGCATGCCTGGAGACCATGAACAAAGTGAAGCAACTGGAACCCTGGTTTGGCATCGAGCAGGAATACACACTGTTGGACATTGACAGACATCCCTTTGGCTGGCCCAAGAATGGCTTCCCTGGCCCTCAGGGCCCCTATTACTGCGGGGTTGGAGTGGACAAGGTTTACGGCCGAGACATTGTCGAGTCCCACTACACTGCTTGTCTCTATGCTGGGGTTCAGATTTGTGGAACGAACGCAGAAGTCATGCCAGCTCAGGTTCGTACAAAATAGTGTGGAATTCCGAAATTTCGCACCATGTGGAATAACCTATTGCTCGCTATGTATGAAAACACAGTGAAAACCGGTTTAATTCGAGGTATGGCTTGATGGGAATTCAATGAGTACTTCGAAACAGCTGTAGACTCATAATTTGGGTGAGCAAATATTATTGTCAAATTATGGGAAGCAGAAAGAGTTTTGGTGAAAGCATGTCTCCGCAATGCATTCATTTCTGAGTGAACTTACGCTTCACATTTATACATTACAGGTGGTAGCTTGCAATTCAATCCTAATCTGTTGCCAAAGTAGGGTCAAATTGCGAGACACCATGAAATTCAAAAATATCAGTAAAAATTCTTTGAAAAAGTGGCCAGAGCAGGTCAACTTGTGGGACAAGAGTTGAATTGCAAATTAACCTTGTCCCTGGAAATTTAACTGTCAAATTTCAGGATGGTCAAATTGTGGGAGGTTGAATTGCAAGGTACTTTGAAAAAGTGGCCAGAGCAGGTCAACTTGTGGGACAAGAGTTGAATTGCAAATTAACCTTGTCCCTGGAAATTTAACTGTCAAATTTCAGGATGGTCAAATTGTGGGAGGTTGAATTGCAAGGTACCACCTGTGCTGTACTTATCCACAGAATCGTCGCTACAGTTTTGATTCTTGCTAAAATAATGTTCTCAAAAATAAGCACTCATTTCCTTGTCCAAAAATGACTTTGTTTTGTGCAAATCATACAGTGTTAGATTTCTCTAATGCCCTCGTTTTATGGTCAAAATCTCGAAAATAAATTTCTTGGTAATTTTAAATTTGTTGCATGAGATGACACCATCATTCGAAATCAATGAAAATGAGGGTTCCGCGTATGTTTAAAATTGTAAAATTGAATTCCTATATCAACCAGCCTTTTTAGGTCAATGAAGTACAACCTGAAAGGATGAAAACTATATAAAGGCAGTTCTGTCGTCAATAAGCAGCAATCAATTACAGTTTTATTTTCTGTGAGATAATTCTAATCTCATCTATCTATCAAGATGCTAGCAAAGGAACCACAGACATGAAACTAATGAATGAATTTAGTGATTTGTGTCATCATTTCAAAAACTGCTATTGTACGTGAATAACAAAGATAACATTTTCCATTCTTTTCAAAGTGGACATATTTATAGGCTGAGTTTCCTTCATCAAACATATTCATTCGATGATTTATGGTATGAAGTAGTTTTTCATGGGGTTCACAGGTGAATTTCAATTTATATCAAAGAAAAGCATTTATATGATTTTCATTATTCAAATTCGGATTCAATCAACCAGGACGTTCATTTTTCTATAGCAGGTGATATTAAAGCAATTTTCGGGATTATGCCACGATTTTTGCATACATTCTCTTCCATGTTTCCAGCTATCTTTTACGCGATGTTACTCATGCTTATATGCGTCGAGAAGTCCGTGACATGTTCATTATTATTATTATTTTTTTTTTAAACGTGCTTGAATGAACTGTTTTCTCACTAGCTCTAAAACTTCGCTCGTACATAATTGTTTTTTCTTTAATGGAAAAATCGATCTTTTGCGCGTGTTCAAAGTGAGAATTATTTGCAACAACAAAAAATGCGTCAAAGAATGAACATCACTGATCCGCCAGCGTCCATCACGGAATTTCCGTCATTTAGTAATGGGCGATATTCATTTTTCCAGTGGGAATTCCAAGTGGGACCCGGAGCGGGCATCAAGGCAGCCGATGACCTGTGGATGGCTCGTTATTTGCTGCATCGGGTCGCTGAGGACTACGGGGTCATCGTCACTTTCGACCCGAAGCCGATGGAGGGCGACTGGAACGGCGCCGGGGCGCACACCAACTTCTCCACCAAGACCTGTGGATGGCTCGTTATTTGCTGCATCGGGTCGCTGAGGACTACGGGGTCATCGTCACTTTCGACCCGAAGCCGATGGAGGGCGACTGGAACGGCGCCGGGGCGCACACCAACTTCTCCACCAAGGCGATGCGAGAAGACGGAGGCATCACGTAATTGATTTCGCACATCCCTTGGGTTGTGTCAACCGCGAAATGCGTGCTTTTTATTTCCCCCTTCAAGGGAAATCGAAAAGGCGATCGACAAGTTGTCGAGGCACCACGTGAGGCATATCAAGGCCTATGACCCGAAGCAGGGCAAGGACAACGAGAGGCGCTTGACTGGCAGACACGAGACCTCGTCCATCCACGACTTCTCTGCGGGTTTGTATAAAGCCTGATGGATTTCATTTTGACAAACTTGAAAGAGAAAAACTATACTCGTTGCTATGATGTCTGTGTTCCCAATGTTCCCAGCCCATGGTACTCGTAACAGCGCCAGTCCACAGAAGTTTTTTGCTGGTCTACAAACAATTTTCTGCAGCATAAGATATTCAAAAAAATGAGCAATGAAGTCCGGTATCATTATCTGAAATGTTGGAAAGACAGCAGCAGTTGAAATTGTCTAAAAGGAAAGAGTTGGCTTTTCTCCTAATAAAACTTTGTACCAATTTTCACCAGCTCAAATAAGGTAAACAGATTTTGTTTCATTCTAAAGACCTTTCTTCAAGCCCAAATTTCTAATTTTTTGAACACATTGGACTAAATAGCTGCTTCAGTCATTCTTAATTTTGCAAAAAACAAAATGGTCTTCACCACCAAAATTTTCTGAGTTTACAAAAATGTAGAGATGACTTTTCTCCTAATACAACTTAGAAAAAATTTCACTAGCTCAAATAGAGGATTCAGATTTTTTTCATTCTAAAGACCTTTCTTCAAGCCCACCTTTCAAATTTCTTGAACACATTCCACCAAATAGCTGCTTCGGTCATTCTTGATTTTTGGAAAAAGCAAAATGGTCTTTTACACCCTATGTATATGAGCTTACAAAAATGTTATGCAACTTCATAACAACTCACATGATAACTAACTAAACTCAGTTATTAACTTATATACTTCATAACTTCATTTCTGCCTGTCTGCAGAACATTTTCGCGAAATGTACCAGTCTGCAGCAGGAAATTCTATAAAAATTTGCCAGTCCGCATGTCCAAAAAGGTTTGGGAACACTGATCTGCTGTGCAGTGTTCCCCAACTTGTGGTCTGTGGACCAGTGACAGTTTGCACAGGATTTTTGTCAGTCCATGGGAAAATTTCTTTAGTATAGTAAATATACTCAATGCAGTACTGAAGTCTGTGCTTGAAATTCAAATTTTGGAAAGACAATGGCTTTATTGAAATCATCTGATGGAAAAAAGTTAGCTTTTCTCTTATTAGTACTTCAGGCATATTCTCACCAGTTGAAACATATCATTTTAAGTTTCCAATCTAAGAAACCTCTGTTGAATCCCAGCTGTCTATTTTCAAGATATTCCACACAGAGGAATGTGGTAGCTTCATTGATTCTTAAATTACTTTTTGTAATAAAAGTTAAGTACTGTATGGCAGGTATTTCGTAATGTTTTGCTGTTCATCAAACATTGTATGGAATGCTGCCAGTCTGTGGAAAATTTTATGAAAATATGCCAGTCCACAAAAGAACTTATAACAACAAACTTGTCCATAAGCCAAAAAAAGGTTGGGGAACCTGATCTACGCTGTAAAAATCTGTTTGGTCCTTGATGTTTTTATGAAATTATCCTGCCCTCCTGTTAATAATGAAGGTGCGTCTGATGAGATTGAGTGCCTAATATGGTTACCCTACTGACTGGGAATTCCCAGAGGGCATCATTTATGGACAGGTTAGAGTAATAATGTAAAAAGAGATTCTTTCCCGTGAAAAGTTTGTTTATAGGAACATGACGCATTTTATGATAGGACTCGTTCAGTAATATATTGTCCAGTGCCAACTCTGATTGATGCGTCATCTGTGGGTAACTCAGTGGTTCAGATAGTTCTCGATAGTTCAGAAATAGCACCCGAATTTGAGTGTGCTAGTGTACAAAATGAAGAGATGAAATTTCAAAGGTAATACGGCAAAAACTACTGGAGAAATGCATTATTGAGACGACAGCATGAGGAAAATTGCTCCGGGTTTCATCCTGCGCTTTATTAATTTCAAGCAATTCTCTGAAAACAAACGATCACGGGTTTCCGTCACCATCACCCTGTTGATTGCTACAAGTGATAGATTACGATACAACTCAGATTCTTTGAGCTAATGGCTGAGAAATGCAAATTTAATGGATGCATATTATATTGAAAACGTCAATGCATAGAATAAACCACTCAGGAACGACCTGACGTGAAATTTTTTATATCCCGCAAAATTTGAACTACACCAGCCAGGTAATTTATTGGATATTAGAGCGAAAGCGTTGAGGTAAAATTTCGAGCCATGCAGATTGCTTAGCTTCCAAAGCAGCCTTCTGATACAAATTTCGAAAGGTAGGTAAATATATCCAAGTACCCCCGGTTGAAGTTATTTCATAGTTTTAATATCGATTACAGTATCTTCATCGATGTCGCATGCATTTTTCTCTACTTTGAATGCTTGATCCTCCTTTGAAAGTGGAGTCATGAAATGTTATGGACGGCATTCAATGCTACAGAGCTCTTCCAACAACAAAAGAGAACTTCGAATTTCGAAAAATTAAATTTCATCCCTTATGGTCTCGTACCGGGTTTATTTGAAAGGCACCAGAAATCAGGTAGGAAATAACGTAATTACTCTTCGTGAGCCTCAAGAATCGAATAAAATCTCGCGTGAAAATTGATTACGCGCTTTAATTGCATTCTGGTTTTTTGTCTGCGCAAGGTATTACTACAATGCGTCATTTTTCGCATTCAAGGAGTTGTTTTAACGTACTGACGTATTAAATCTAAGTCTAGGGAATTTACGCTGAAATTTGCAACGAATTTTTTTTCAATTCCTTACGTATACCGAATTGAATTGAAAGTATTCTTCAATTCAAAACTTTGGAAACAATAACAACGGAGATTGCGTGAAAATATTTTCCAGCGTCGAATTGAATAAAATGACGTTACAAACGGTTTTTTCAACTAGTTTTTGTCGGGTTTCAAGGTCCACAGACAAATTTCATTTTCCTTCAAGTGGTTTCAGAAACTTATTTTCAGAGAACATATTCTAAAGTTAGACTATGTTTTAAAATTAAACACCGATGCGCATCAAAAATGTCTGGAGCTTTTTCTTCAAGTGATTTCATTTTTCGATGGAATTTGATTTTTAAAAGGTGTGGCAAACCGAGGTACAAGCATCAGGATTCCTCGAGGAGTCGCGGAGGAAAAGAAGGGCTACTTGGAAGATCGTCGCCCGTCGTCCAACTGCGACCCGTACTCGGTTTGCGAAGTGCTCGTTCGCACTTGTTGTCTGGAAAACTAAACCAACAAGCTACCTCAACCAACTGAACGACGTTTCAACATATAAGCAGAAGGGGAAGAACGAAATTTGAGACACCTTCAATTGATATTCTACGAAAGAACATCACGGTTGGATCTGTTAAATCATACGAGAGGCGATATTATTTGTTTCGGTACGAAAGCTGTGTGGGTCGATCACCGCGGAATTTGCTTCCTCGAATGCACAGAATGAATTCAAGACACCTTTCCGATGCCGATGGATCTTATTTTGGAAAATTCACTTCAGTTTTTTTCAATGACTGATTGGTTTTTTTGTTGCTCTGGAGTATTTCACGGGATTCCGAATTTTCGTTCCCGGTGCTGAACAGTGACCCGAGTTTTGGTTTGTCTTTCATGGGAAATCTTCATCACAAGTTTTTAAACTGGAGTGTAACTTATTTCCCTTCTCCCGAAGTCCTCCTTGATGGAAAACAGGGTTTCCTTCGTGCATTCATTCGAGAAAAAATAATCTGTTGTAAATACGAGAAACTCTGTATGCTTCGTAGAATATAGTGATTATTTGAAAATTTGAATAGGTTTCCTGCAAATGTTTTACACTTGGTTCCGTGCGACGTTGAGGATGGCCAAAGATTCTCTGGTTCAGTTGAAAAAAGATTTGTAAAAAAATAAGACTGGATTTAGCTATGTGTAAGTGAAAGTGGATTTTTGGATGTCATTTTATCTTCTCGCGTTAATTTGAGTGTGATGCTGCTTGCGTGAGAGTCGTTTCTGTTGGCCTGTCTTATTGGCGCAAATATAAACCAGAATTTCATAAACCGTGTCACTGTTATTTATAGTCCTCTCTGAAACGCTAGGAAAATTAAGCTATAACGCTTGCACACGATTATAACAGCTTTATTATTCAGTGTTCGCTGATTTTCCATGGCCAAAGTTTGCGCTACACGAAAATAAGTATACATCCTCGCGTATTTTACAGCGCGTATGAAATGTTGCACCATATCAGCAACCATTATTTTTGGCTGATGAGGATTTACGTACAGTGAGACCGGGAGATGTGGACTTAATTGGTGCATCAAGAGTGTCCCTAGGTTTAAATGTCCCTAGGTCGAGTCTCCTTTTCCCCTTAGACTTACATTATATAATTTTTAATTGGTGTTTTATGTACAAAATACTCACCATAATTCCATGAAAATAAAAATTTTCTCCCAATTTAAACTGATTCTGATCAATATATTACAACACAATATGGGCATTTAGGGAATTGAATAGTGATACCTCTGTACAGTACATAGAAATGTTTGCTGTAAAAATAATATTCAAGTGAAAAAGACAAAAAACCCCAGGCAAGGGCACTGTTAGCCTGGGGAATGTTACTACTTACCTTACCAAATTCCCTTCACTGCGAATATTGAACCACTTCCCCCGTAAGGATCCCCCCAGCGTCAGACATTTAGCGGGCTATATACAGAGCTTGTATCCGTCCCATTTTTGGGTGGGCTGGGAGTTTTTATTGGGACAGTGAAGGGAATTTGGTAAGGTAAGTAGTAACATTCCCCAGGCTAACGGTGCCCTTGCCTGGGGGTTTTTGTTACTACACCCTAACCAAATTCCCTTCACTGCAAATCTTGAGAATTGGATACAAGGTCCGTTCCCAGGATATTAACGAAAGACGTTAAGCGCTTTCTACACATTTATTGCCGAGTCGCAGCTGCATGCATATACACTTCACACTGTCGCCGGAAAATAGTCATAAACCGTGCCGATTTTTACATATATACAGTTTGCGTCGCCGTTTTTTACGACACTCACTCGTCAGTAACAGCTGCGCGAATTGCCATTTGTGCGTGAGTTCTGCGTGCAATGGCCTCTTCCGGTACAATTTGTTTCGGTTTTCTCTTATATATGCGTTTCCTGTTTTCCCCCTGTTTCCCTTCTTTGGCGTTTTGAGGGGGGTCTTTTTCAAACAGCCTCTTTAGATCTATTTTTGGATCTGTTCCGATTGCCCTGTGAACAGGGGTGCGTTGGGCGCATTTGCTGTTTGGAGTCGGATTTTCCATGAGATTTTGCCCTTTTTCAGTCAATTTCTGATTATAATGTTTTTGAAAGGTGGATTCTTTTTTCCACCCTGTCAATTTTGCTATTGAGTCGAATGATCTGTTTTTTGCCCATGCACATGTTGCTGCTGCGGCACGGGTTGAGCCTGGTGTATCCTGAATATTCATTCTTTCCAGGATGTTTATGAGCCATTTTCTTATTGTTGCTTTCTGGACTCTTTCTCCATTGTCTGCTCTGACAAAAAGATATTGCGATCTTTCCGCAAATGTGNCTGCCACAATGTCTTTTTTGTTGCAGCTGGCCATTGCATTTTTATATATTTTTTCAACAACTTGCTTTGCAATTGTTCCCAGAGTGCAAATCGGTTCACGATCTTGCAATGCTGGTAAAAATCGGGCCAATGCGTCGTCACCTTCCTGTGCACCGACAGCAACAATTTCCTCATCTTGAGGTATACCACGCAACAGCGCTCGATCCATAAGCTTCTCCAACGGTTCGCTTAGGATGGGATCCTCTATCGTATCTATATTCGATAGGGAGTCTTTATTAATTTTTGTCATTGTAAATTATTTTTGTTTAACTTGCCTTGTTCGTTTGTATCTTCTGAGTTTTCATCATCACTGATATGATGTACTTCTGTAAAAGTTTCACTCATTTTGTTTCTTTTTCTTTCTCTGTGTGATATAAAATATCTTCATTATTCACTGTTTTTTATTTTTATATTTCACGAAAGGTTGGCTTGAAGAACACTGGTACACATTTGTACTTGCAGTTTTTTGCTCTTGCCACCCTTCGCGAGGGGTGAGTCCACACGAGAGTTGTCGCTCCCGCGAGGTTCAAGTGGGTTCTGACGCTGGGGGGATCCTTACGGGGGAAGTGGTTCAATATTTGCAGTGAAGGGAATTTGGTTAGGGTGTAGTAACAGAAGGAAGTCCCTCTCTGCTGGAAATAATTTTTTTTAATTAGCTAAATGGATGATAAATTGGTGAGAGAAATGCTCAAGAATTTTTCTTACATCAATTTTAGGGTTGGAAATATCTATTTCTTGTAATTTGGCCTGAAATGCATTTGCAATTTTATAACAAAATGTCCCTATGTCTGTCCTCATGTCGGGAATTTTTATTAATTTTTTATGAGAAAATAAGTGTCCCTATGTTGAAATGTCCGCAGGTCGAGGTGCCCGCACGTGGGGTCTCACTGTATTTACTATCGGTTACAGCACTAAAATGTTTCATCAGTTTGCCATGCTCGAACGCCTCACCTGGTGCCTCAAGATTAAATAGAGGGACTGATTGAATATAGGTACTGGAATTTTTGACATGTGGTTCGGGGCACGGTAAAGTTTCCCTCTCTGTGAAGCTTGGAGAAATTGCAAAAAAGGAAGTGGGCTGTGTCTTCTTGTGAGAGGGGAAGAAAGAAATATACACAATATTCGAATTCAACACATCCACACATAATGTATATACATGCAATGCATGTATGTACATGCACCCTGATATATTCACCCTGATAT